ACCGTGCCCGACCCCTGTGTGTGTGTGTGTGTGTGTGTGTGTGTGTGTGTGTGTGTGTGTTTAGATTTCTTCCTGGAAAGAGAGAAACATCCCTGATAAAATGTTTATGCAATTTCTGGATGAACTTTAATGGGATCAAGTGTTGTTCTGGTAACCAGGCACCCACTCAAAAGTCCCTCAAGATACTAATGACCTAGAACCTAACTTTTTTGTTATTTTTTGAGAAGGAGTTTCCCTCTGTCTCAGGCTGGAGTGCAGTGGCGCCACTCCTGCTTACTGCAACCTCTGCCTCCCGGAACTGAACATCTTTTTCTAACAATGACTATCCAACCACCCGCTAGAAAACGGCCCCACGGGACGCGGTGACTCACGTCCGTAATCCCAGCACTTTGGGAGGACAAGGTGGGAGGAACGCTTGAGCTCAGGAGTTTGAAATCAGCCTGGGCAACACAGGGAGACCTCCGTCTAAAAAAAAAAAAAAAAAAATTAGCCGGGTGTGGTGGCATCGTACCATAGTCCCAGCTACTCGGGAGGCTGAGGTGGAAGGATCGCTTGAACCCGGGAGTTTAAGGCTGCAGTGAGCCGCGATCACGCCACTGCACTCCAGCCTGGGTGACAGAGCGAGACTCTGTCTCAAAATATAAAAAAAAGAAAAAAAACGGCCCCAAGGCTATGAGTGTACTGGGGCCTCTCCTGGGGTTTCTACCTCTCTCCCTATCTCTGTTCCTACATGAGCATTCCCATGTGTCTCCGAGCGTCTGTCCCTCGCACTTTGAGTGTCTCCCTGTTCTCTGTTTCTCTGGGTCTCAGAGTGTCCCTGCGTTGCATTCTGGCTTCCTCGCCCTCGCCCTAGTTCTCGCCTCTGCCCCTGGGCGGCGCCCCGCCCTCTACCCCAGACGACCGCGGCCCCTTTAAGGCGTGCCCCGCCCCCGCCTCCGCCCCGCCCCTCCCCGGGTCAGCGGGGGAGCCTCTGTCTGCAGCCGGCGCTCGGCCTCGGCTCAGTCCTGACCCTGCGGCGAACGCGATGGCGGGGGCTGTATTGAGGGTCACCCAGCGGCAGCTGAGCCAGCGCGGCAGGTCTGAAGCCCCCATCCTTCTGCGGCAGGTGCGGGTGGCTGGACCCAGGGGGGCATTACTGGGCGTCAGGCGGCAGCAAGGGCGGAACTCCGGGGTCTCTTAACGGGGAGAGATCCGGGTGACCCACGCCTGGATCTTGCGGAAAGCGGGGTGGAGGTTTAGGGCGGGACTCCTGGGTCCTTTAAAGGTGAATGGCCTGGGGGCTCCTCGGCTTGGGGCGGGACCCCTGGGTCCTTTATGAAAGAACGTGCTGGGGAACCTTATTTTGGGGTGTTCCAACTTTGTAGTTGGAACTCTTTCGTTCTGTTGGAGGAAGGTGGTGGGGCCCCTGACTCCAGGGGAAAGAGGGGGCTGGGTTTCTGCTTCTGGATCTTTGGAAGGGGATAGAGCCAGTCTGGACTACTGGGCCCTTTAATGGGTGGGAGTCCGGGTCTGCGCTCTCACTTGGGTCCCCCGCTCCCAGATGTTCGAGCCGGTGAGTTGCACCTACACGTACCTGCTGGGTGACAGAGAGTCCCGGGAGGCCGTTCTGATCGACCCGGTCCTGGAGACAGCGCCTCGGGATGCCCAGCTGATCAAGGAACTGGGGCTGCGCCTGCTGTATGCTGGTCAGTCCAGGGACCGGACTCTCGGGTCCCAGCGGGGCTGGACTGCAGTCAGTGGAGTGGGAAGACGGGGGCCGGAACTCCTGAGTCTGAGGGAGAAAGATCTGGGCTGGGACTCCCACGTCCTCTCTGTATGCCCTGCTGGACCTGTCCCTCCTCTCTCTCCCAGTGAATACCCACTGCCACGCAGACCACGTTACAGGCTCGGGGCTGCTCCGTTCCCTCCTCCCTGGCTGCCAGTCTGTCATCTCCCGCCTTAGTGGAGCCCAGGCTGACTTGCACATTGAGGATGGAGACTCCATCCGCTTCGGGCGCTTCGTGAGTTGGGTGCTGGGTCCCCAAGAGGGTGGTGGCCTGGACTCCTTAAACTTAAGGGAAGAGGGTACTGGGGGCCTGGGATCCTGAGTCCTGGGGGAGGAGGGACTTCAGGACTCGGGTTCCTGACCCCTGAGCTCCTGTTTCTGGGAGGGGGAGGCACCATAAACCCAGGTGGGGCTCTGGGGCAAGAGGCTCTGGGCAGGTGTGTCCCTGGCGAAACTCCTAAGTCAACAGCTGCTCAGGGGCGGCTCTTTGGCCTGGCACGTATTTCCATAAAAGTTGATTAGGGGCTGGAATTCTGAGGGCAGGGCTGAGAAGGAAAGTGATCCAGTCGTATCTTGCAGAAACCTCCATTTGAGGAAGGAGCGTCTGGAATGCTTAGAACCCAGAGCCCAGGACTGAGACAAAGGCTGTGAGGACCCTGGAGTGCAATATTTAAGGAGGCACTGGCTCTCAGGGTCCTGTAAGTGCAGGGTCCATACTCGCGAGTGAGCGCCCCCTTAAATCTTGCGCTAACAGCCTCACCCTAGTCCTAGGGATGCAGTTGCCTCACACTGGAAAGGTCTGAAGGTTCCTGCCACCCTCACTTTCTTTGCCACAGGCACGAGCAGGTTTCCGGCCAGAATTGCAACCCAGGGCATAGGGGGGAGGGTCAGGGGAGTTGCCCTCAGAGGGAGGGAAACAACTGGCAGGGCGTTTTTCTGATCAGTTGCTAAAGATGTATAATAGAGTTTGGCTGACTCTGGGGACAGAATGTCAGGACAGCCTCCAGGTTAGAAGGTTTTGCTAAACAAGGACAGTTCATTTGGTTCTGAGTGTTTAGAGGAAATGGAAGCTGTGTGTGGGAAGACGGTTTAGCTACAATGGTTACAGAAGCTTCATTTCAAGCCTTTTTCTGGAAGCAGGGAAAAATGCATTGGACATGTATGAACATTGTACATAATAGTCAGGTGTTAACGAGCATTTCTTGGAATGAATTTTGAAGGGTTTAGCTAGGTTTAG